GTTTGCTCCTATTCTGATGCATAGCCTTTTTTTGCTACCTGCTTTCATACCTTACCTGCTTACTCTAAACTGCTTAGTATAGGCTGGTTAGAGATCCATCAGTGACCCCCACCTTGTCCCACTTGCCCCGCTTTATGTTCGATGACTCGATCAACGTGATCGACGTCCAGGCCCCGACAACGCACATTACCCCTTCCCCCCTTAGTTGTACGACTATGCAGAGTTATTATCAAGTGTCGAGGGTGATACCTCGTCAGCACTTCTGGTGTTAACCATGTAGTGTAGCTATTCAGTTGTGCTAATCGAGGATGATTCCTCCTTCACCACTCCCGATAACAACTCTGTCGTGCAACCCCTCAAGTGTGGACGAGGCTGATTCCTCCAAGTCCACCTTGATGGCTACATCGAGTGGGAATCCATCAAGGGTGATTCCTCATGTTCCCCCCTTGCTGTTTCAAACACACAGTTTGTCACGCCCAATATGCGACTCTATCCTAAAGGAACTTGAAGGTCCCGCCAAGGATAGAAGCACATATTGGAGACGCTTTTGCAAGGTGGATATCATTACATCGTACCATTACATAATAATTGGGGATACATACAAAAGGCATACAATGCCACATGAATACATCAAACATCATACATAAGAACAATATCCGACTATGGATGAAACACAAACAGAAACTCAAACGACATCCACCCTGCTAGCCCAGGCTGCCGACCAGGAACCTAACGCAAGATCGACGATGAAGAAGAAGAACTCCAAGACAAGCAAACATCGCTCTCACGATGTGATCATCGCATAACCTGTACATGCAACTGTTCTGTAGTAATCTATGAGCCACGAGGACTCAGCAATCCCATTACCATGGGCATTAAGACTAGCAAAGCTTAATGGGTATGGAAGGGGTAAAGTGGTGAGGTTGCAGCAGCGACTAAGCATTGTATGGTGGCTAACTTACGAGTACAAGAGTATGAGAAACTACGCAAACGGTCGCAAACTAGTAATGATCAAGAAGTGATCCTGAACTACTTACGTTCAAACATAACCCAACCGTGTTCTCTTCTCAAACGCACCCGAAAAGAGACAGTCACGGTTACGCACGTGGTTGGTGTATTTTAATTGAGTTTACTTCAAGTCCTCTACAACCAAATATTAACAAATTCCCATCTGCCACATAACCGCGGGCACGGCTCTCCAAAGTTTAAACCCCGCAGGGGTGTCCCAACTTAGCCCATGACAAGCTCATGATCCCAGGAGACAATCCTCCATCGCGGGAACCTCCGATCAGACTCGTAATCCCAGTGCACAAGACATTTCGACAATGGTAAAACTAATCCAGCAAGACTTCCCGACATGCCGACACCCTGATAGTAGCCACGCGTATCTCTTCTCAGGCCACGTCCGGATGAGCAGTCCGTACAACTAAAACCAGTCCTCGAGTTTCCCTGTGGCGGCGTTGCAAGGGGCTCTAGTTTGGGACCAACACCATCAGCACTGGCCCCCTGTATGTAGAAAAGAATCCTCGGGTTCATGATGCCATATGCCAATTAATTATTTAGTTCAAGTTTTTATTATGGCAAATGTTAAAACCAATGTTGGGCCTTGCTGAAAGAGTTTTATTCAAAGCGAACTGTCAAGAGGGGCCCATAAACCCTCACCGTGTTAGGGACGCAAAATCAAGGAACATAACACCGGTATGACGGAAACTAGGGCGGCAAGAGTGGAACAAAACACCAGGCATAAGGCCAAGCCTTCCACCCTTTACCAAGTATATATGTGCATTAATTAAATAAGAGATATTGTGATATCCCATGATATCCATGTCCCAACATGGAACAACCTGCAACTGCACCTGCAACTAGCAATGCTATAAGAGGGGCTGAGCAAAGCGATAACATAGCCAAACAACAGTTTGCTAGGAAGGTAAAAAAGGTTAGAGGCTAACATGGCAATTTGGGAGGCTTGATAAATAAGTGGTAGGTAGCGCAACATAGCCATAGCATCGAGACAACTAGCATAGAAAAGACAGTAGTGAGATCTAAGGTGATGGTCATCTTGCCTGAAATCCCTCTAGGAAGAAGAACAAATCCATGAAGAAGACGATCCCACGTAGTCGAACGAATCCTCACAATCGCAATGAAACAAGAACTATCGACAAGGAGCACAACCGGAAAGAAGCAAACAACATGGTAAACACACAAGCATGAACAAGACATGATGCTCAACCAAGTATGATGCATCATAAGTCTATATGATGCTACTCATGGCAAGAGATGATGCATACAAGAACAACATATCAAAGCAAGTTTAAATGAGGCCGGAAACAACATATAACAATTCCAGAAACTCCCCATATGCAAATTTCAAAATTGGTACTGATTTGAACAAAACATTATGTTGAAGTTATTAATCATCAAGTTAAAGTGCACCAAGATGATCTACACGCTTTTCTAGTCAAGTTACATATAAAGTTCATTTAATTCAAAGCTATGGTATAGAAGATATGAGCAAAACAAGTTAAACATGTCATTGATGCAAAAGCAAGCAAAACAACATCACAAACACTCCAAAACATGTATGCAACAAGGTAACATGAAACTACATGCAAAACTAATCAAGTTTCATATAGAGCATACTCCAAACGGAGCAACGGTTCAACAGATACACTCAATACAAGTTTCACACACAATCTGCCCAAAACTGCAACTAAGCACTTTGCAATCAAGGAAACAACATGCTACAGGAATCATATGGATACAAACTTGATATGCACTCAAAGTATAGACAACATGCTTCAAATAACATTAAGGTTCAGGTTCATAGGCATCAAGATTAATCCAAGATGATCAATGCAAAAAGCCACTTGATAACATGATACGTCTCCAACGTATCTATAATTTTTGATTGCTCCATGCTATATTATCTACTGTTTTGGACATTATTGGGCTTTATTATCCACTTTTATATTATTTTTGGGACTAACCTATTAACCGGAGGCCCAGCCCAGAATTGCTGTTTTTTTTTTGCCTATTTCAGAGTTTCGCAGAAAAGGAATATCAAACGGAGTCCAAAAGGAATGAAACCTTCGGGGACGTGATTTTCTCACTGAACATGATCTAGGAGACTTGGACCCTACGTCAAGAAATAAAGGAGGAGGCCACGAGGTA